GCAGCATATTCAGTCTGCTCTTTTTGAAAGAAACTTTAACAATAAAATTGGATGGGAATTCTGGCAGTCATGCTCCAACAGGGACAAAAAAGTACCAGAAATGTTGTCTTTATATGACTCATGCACACTATCATTTGTAAGTGTTGTATAGCAGTGCTGAGGAAGATAATTTAAGCTTGGCAAGCTACTCATTTAAAGCAGGTAAGCTGGAGCCATACAGCTAAAATGGTTTGCTAGAAGCTAACAAAAAGTAGACAAATAAGATATTTAATGGGACAATGTCTCTTTAAATGTCATGTTTTATTATTCATATCATAGCAGTATTTCTGGTTCGCAAAGGTTTTTGAATGAATCTTGATTATGGTGACAAGTAAACTAAAATGAACAAGATAACTGATTCTAACAAACAGTGATGAACAGTAGCATTTAGCTAAATATTTTGCTATAAAACAGCCACAAAATGGAGACAAAAGCCGAAATTGATTCAACTTTTTTTTTTTTTTTAAACTAAATCAAATGAACCGATTCACTCAAAAGAATCAGACTTTCAAACTACACATGTCAGATAGAACATTTTAGGAAGATATACTTAATTATTGTGTCTTGTAAAGATGTTTTTATAATGCAATGTATTACTGATGTAGCATTTAGCATTAAGTTCTGTCACGCTACTAAAAAAGTATACTTTGCATGGCTACCTTCAGTTGGTTACTTCCCAACACTACTATCTATGCATTAGGGTATGTGAGACAGGTAATGTTAATTCCTCAACAAAAAATCTTCTTTGTGAATAATTTATCAAAAACTTGAGTCTCAGCTAACAGTTCTGAAAAGTTTTAAAGGGTTAGTTCACCCAAAAATGAGAATTCTGTCATTAAAACGAAGTAAAACACAAAATAAGAACAAAAAATAGATGTGATGAAGACCAAGTTTCAGTGAAACAATCATAATCCAATCCATATGATGCCTTTAAGTCCATCATTTTGGTGTGATTAAGTGGCGATTTTTCTCTGCAGATGATGAGGTTGTGGGATGTGATGCATCTGAAATACACAATTAAGTTTAGAGTTACAGTGCGTCCATGTGTTTGTGTAAAAACAATTGTGTTTATGAAGGCCAAAAGCAAAAATGGACAGTTTGTGAGCCCTTCACAATCTTATAAGAAAAAAGTGATATAAAGTCATGAGATAGTTTTAATATTTATTGTGACTGGGTATGTTTATGCATAAACCCAAGTAATAATTAAAAAAATCTTACAATATGAAGCCATTTACATTTTTAAAGTTAAATTTGTATTTACATTTTAAGAATGAAATCATTTACCTTTTGAGAGTGTGTTGATAGTCTGTAGCTGGATCACTGAACTCCAGAAAATCAGTAATGATGAGTTGTCAGTTACAGATTTGAAAAACAAAAGTGCGGGAATAAAGAACCCTAAACTCTAACACAAAAAAAAAAAATTCAGCATGAAAGGGTTCTTCAGAATGCTATGGTTCTAAATAAAACCATTACTGCATGTAAAGAACCTTTAAAGAACCATCTTTTTTTAGAGTGTACTGTATATAAGTCAGAGAAGGTAACAAAATGTCTGATAGAAACCTCTATAATATATCATTTGGTGTGATTTTTTCTTTCAGGAAATCATATGATAGGACACCTACAGAAATAAAAGAGTACACTTTGAATGCACTTGTTAGGGTGGTCAAGTGGAAGTAATAATCTTTATTACTGTAGTACTTGTATTATATCTTCAAAAAGTTGAAGTGTCTTCCCAAGGTCATCCAAACTCTCACACTGACAAACTGTATGAACAGACATCAAAAAGTTTTAGTAAGATTCCTTTTTCTAAGTATAAACTGTTACCAAACAGTTGCCGGTAGCCATTGACTTACATATTATGGAAGCCATACTATGGAAGTCAATGGCTACTGGCAACAGTTTGTTTACCAGCATGTTCCTTACACATTTCGATAGCTGTTGTAGGTCAAATGGATCTCAAAAGATATTGGTAACACTTTATTTCGATAGTCCACTTGAGATATTCTACTAACAGTAAGTAACTTTGCAACTACATGTCAACTAGCAGTCATTAGAGTATTAGTAGACTGTCTGCTTAATATCTTCTAACACTTTATTTTGATGGGTCAACAACATACAACATACTGACTATCAGAAACGTTGCAAGTATATGTCAACTTATTCTACTAACCCTAAACCTACCCTAACAGTCTACTCTGAGAGTTAGTAGACATGTAGTTGCAAATCAATTAGAATTAGTTGACATGTAGTTGACATGTAGTTACAAAGTTACTTATAGTTAGTAGAATGTCTAAAGTGGACTATGGAAATAAAGTGTAACCAAGATATTTTTTGATTGCCTTTAATAATCATAATTCCGAATCAAGTGAATAACGACAAATCAACCTCGAGTTAATCCATTTTTAAAGCATCTGGTTTTCAGCTCCTCAACAGGATGTAAATTTCCTGACTGATTTGATTTCAGTTCCCCGTGATGTTTTATTTTGTGAAGGAGAGGTAATAAACTCTTCCCGTACATGTGCACCCACTTTGTCGGATTAGCACAATGTCCTGTGGGTGTTTCCATGGCCTCTGGAGAACATGATGTTAATACTGAATTTAAAGAGCTTTCTTCTCTCTGCCACTCTCCTCAGCACTCCCCTTCCCTTCTTCTTCTGTGTGGGAGGGATGCAGAGCGAACAACTTTGTAGAGACTCGTGATGTGGAATTTCCTTGAGAGATGATTTTCCCATAATGTCTCAAAGGGAATTATAAGGAGATTAACGCCTTCCACATCAACAAACATTTGTTTGTTAGGGCAGCTGCCAACATCATTGCATTTGTAGGCGATTAGAAATGTAATTTTGTGGGTAGTTATTTCACACCCAATGGCATGAGTTTGAAGAAGGGACTAACTATTTGGCCAAACAATAGAAGGCATGGATGTCATTAATCCAGAAAGTTTTTGTCTCTTTTGAAAAACCTTAATGAAATTGCTTGATTGAGTTTCCTGTTAAAACAGGAAGTTTGGGGCGGAGTTTTGGTGCATCTGAAATCGTTTAAATCATTGTAGGTATTACTACATTTGATGACCACAAACTTTGCATAAATTAAAAAATACATTCTATATAGTATGAATGAAATCTAGACATACTACATTTGCCATATTAGCTTTGTCATGTGACCTATAGTGTGAGTTGCTTTAGTTGCAGCACTGCCATTTACAACTTCCCTCTCATGGCCTCATGGGAAAGTGTTCTTTCAATGTTCACTTTGAAATGTCAGCTGAAATAGTAGGTCATCTGTGTATTTTTCATATATTATTTTATGAATACAACGAATTTGGACATACTGCTGATTTCACATACTGTTTTTTTGCCTACTGTTGTATGAAGTGAAGTGAAGTGACATGTGGCCAAGTATGGTTACCCATACTCAGAATTAGTGCTCTGCATTTAACCCATCCTAAGTGCACACACACAGCAGTGAACACACACACACCGTGAACACACACCCGGAGCAGTGGGCAGCCATTTATGCTGCGGCGCCCGGTGAGCAGTCGGGGGTTCGGTGCCTTGCTCAAGGGCGCCTCAGTCGTGGTATTGAAGGTGGTAGAGAGCGCTGCACATTCACTCCCCCCACCTACAATCCCTGCCGGTACGAGACTCAAACTCGCAACCTTTGGGTTACGAGTCCAACTCTCTAACCATTAGGCCACGACTTCCCCCTTAATATGAATATTACGTATTCATATTCATCGTAGTATGAATACTACGAATTCGGACATACTACTCATTGCATGTACAGTTTTTCATGTACTATTTAATGAGTATTAGGAATTTGGACAGACTATTAGTTTCAAATACTGTTTTCCGTCTACTGTTTTATGAATTGTACGAATTTGGACAGACTACTCACTTAACATACAGTTTTTTGTATACTATTGACTACTGCTTTACAAATACTATAAACTCAGACATAATATTAATTTCACAATTGTTTAATGAATACTACGAATTCAGATATACTACTCATTCCCCATACTGTTTTTCATCTACTGCTTTACAAATACTATAAATTCAGATTTACTGTTAATTCCACGTAATGTTTTTCGCCTACTGTATTACAATTTCAATTAATTCGGACATACTACTCATTTCATGCATTGCTTTTTGCCTACTGATTGATGAATACAACAAATTTAGACATACTACTCATTTCACATACTGGTTTTTGTCTACTGTTTTATGAATACTATGAAGTTGGACATACTAATCATTTCACGTACAGTTTTATTAATTTGGGCATACTACTCGTTTCACATATAGTTTTTTCACATACTATAGTAGGGAAGTATACAGTTCATATTTGGGTGCGGTAAGCAGGCCAACAAAATCATAATATGCTACTTGCCAATGCTAGCTAGCAGCAGGTGGCATTAGAGAGAAGGATGTTCTCACTCTAGACAGCATTTGACTGGTTACGCCCCCAAATTCAAGATGTTCATCATCAATATTTTTAATCTGTTTTCCCAAGACAATGACCTCTGTCAACTTTAAGCTGCACGTTAACGCATATAGATAGCATAAAAGCTAACAGACATAGTCTAAAATATACAAAACTCCAATTAGATCTCTTCAAGTCGTCAAGGTGGATCTACCTTTCTGTGTGGCCACTTGCTCAGCTGTCAGTCCGTCGTCCATCCTAAGGTTAACCCTCCCCAATTTCTCCCAATTCTAATGAGGTATTATTAGCTGATTAGAGAGGACCCTTGTGAAAAAGATGAAAGCTAGAGTGAGCGAGTCAGAGAGAGCAAGCTGGATAGAGGGAGGGAGGTAAAAAAAGATCAACTCACTGCTAGTTGTGCTGTGGAAGCAGTGGGATAAAGCTTCACAGTGAGAGAGAGAGGCAAACTGGGATATATTTCTATTTATTTCCCCCTCTGTTCCCATTTCTTGGCTTGTTGCAAAGAAGCAAGAAAAAAAATCAAACGAAAACAGACGTAAATTTAGCATCCTAGCAGCCAGAGCGTCTCCTCAACGTGCTCGTTCAGAAGACTCTCCATGTCTAATGTGACACATTGGGGTGGAATCGTGGGACATTCGGTCACACAGAGCTAAGTGAAGGATGGATAGAGTGAACCGGGTTTTAAACATCGTAAGACAGATGTCTCCCAGGAAAAGGGAAAGAGGGTCTCATTGGGAGGCGGAGAGCCCGGAGACCTGCGAGGAGAGTCTGTGCTCTCTCAGCCTTTGCATCCGCGGTAAGACCACCCCTGGCAAACTTTCTCTCTCGCTCTGTCTCGCGCTCCGTCTCCCCCTCCTCCCACTCTAATCCTTTTTTCATTACTGCTTTGTGGGTTTGATATTAACTTTGACCTGTGGTGTTCGCCACATACACTGAGGAGAAGAAAAAAAAACACTCTCTTATTTCCGTCAGTCTGGCTTCAGTTATCATCTAGTTTCCTCTGAAGGGAAGAGTGATTGAATTAATGGTGAACTTAATGTGGAGGATGCGGTTTCTCGTTCCTAATGTTTTTCTTGAAGAATTGATTTTGTATTAGGCTTTTAAATATTTGATGAAATGGATGATTCCGTGAGGCACAATCATAATTCTCGACTTTATTTTTCAGCTCAACTCGCCGTCATTCATTGTCTGGCTTTGATTTGGTAGGGTCTTCAGAGATCAGTGAAGCTTCACCGATATTAATTGAGTAAAGATCATAACTCTTCATTGAAATATGACTTGCATGAGTAATGGCTGTTTTAACAAGAGGACTGACCGGTGCATTATTATCTACAGGAAGTTTGAAGACACTTAAGTTTGTACGGTTCATTTTGTGATAGAAATGGATTGGAGAATTGAATCTTTCCTTCTACATGATCTTTTTAACCTTTCATCTCATGAGGGTTGTATAACCCTATGATTGTACTAACTGTCCAGTTGCTGTTGTGTTTTTTTTTTTATAAAGTTTTAAACTCTGGTTAAAAATATATTTCACCCAAAAATGAAAATTCCATCATATACTCATGTTGTTCCAAAACCTGTATGACTTTCTTTTTTCTGTAGAACATATACGTAGATATGTGCATACAATGAAACTTAATGGGGTCCAATCAGTGTTGACTTTCATTACACAGACAAAAACAGCAAACACATTCTTCAAAATATCTTCTTTTGTGCTACACAGAAGAAGGAAAGTCAGACAGGTTTAGAATGACATGAGAGTGGTTAAATTATGGCGGAAATGTCATACTTTTAAGTAAACAATCCCTTTAACTTGGACTGCTGAAGGTTTGCAAATAAAATGTAAGGGGAATTCACTAACAATGAGTTAATTTGCATAATTTGTCTGTGTTGTATTAGCACCATTTTAATTAAAATTATTTTAAAATTATACAAATGTTATTAAATCAAAATAAGGTAACAGCAAATAATTCACCCACAAAAAATAGAGAGATATAAACTCAGAATTGTGAGAAAAAAGTCAGAATTGAGATATAAAATCAGAATTATGAGATATAAACTTGTAATTATGAAATGTAAACTCAGAATTGTGATAAAGTAGAATTGCAAGATGTAAACTCAAAATTACATGGAAAAAGTCAGAATTGTGAGATATAAGCTCAGAATTGCAGGATGTAAACTCAGAATTACTAGATATAAACTCAGAATTTTGCAAGATACAAATTTAGAGCTGCGAGAAAAATGTCAGATGTAAACTCAGAATTGATCAGATGTAAAATAAGATATCAACTTAGAATTGTGAGGGGAAAAAAATCAGAATTGTTAGATATAAAATCAGAATTAGGGTTGCAAAAAGGTGGAACATTTCCGGTAAATTTAGGAAATATTCCAGAAATTTTGGAAACTTTCCAGGATTTTTTGAAATATTCCAGGGATTTTTGGAAAGTTTCCGGAAATTTACCGGAAATATTCCACCCCTTTGCAACCCTAATCAGAATTACGAGTTATAAACTCAGAATTGCGAGAAAGTAGAATTGCGAGATGTAAACTCAATTACATGAAAAAAGTCAGAATTGTGAAATATAAACTCAGAATTACAAGATATAAACTCAGAATAGCGAGAAAGTAGAATTGTGAGATGTAAACTCAGAACTGTATGAACAAAGTAAGAACGGCAAGATGTAAACTGAATTGCGAGAAAAAGAGTCAGAATTGCTAGCTATAAACTCAGAATTGTGAGAAAAACATTTTATCTGCAATTCTGATTTTTTTTTTCAAAGCCTGAATTGTGAAATAAAAAGTTGCAGTTACCTTTGTATTTTTTTATTCTGTGGTAGAAATCGGCTTCCGTGCTTTTGTGTATAAGGCACAGTCTATTATAGGGCTAACTGCCATTAAAAATAAGTTGTTTGCATAGCTTTTTGTTTTTAACTCTCATTGCATATTCCAACTTGATCCCAAGAACTACAAATGCTTCAGATGACGCAATCTCTCTTGCGTTCCTTCAGACAACATCAGATATGTTACATCTCGAGCAGTTTTTAAATGTTTCATCTTCCATTGACTCCAGGAAGATTACATTGCTATACATGTGATATATTATTTAAAACCTGCCGGAATATACTCTCAGATGCATTCGCGAGAAGCCCTGCGTCTTTAATGAGGCATCTCACTTTTACACACAGGGGAGGCTGTCTCGCGCCCTGTGACACTCTGTAATTACAAACAGAATTGTATTAGGCATCACTATTATATTGTTGCTGAATGTGACACTGTGTCTGTTCCAGAGTCACAGTGTCCTGAAATAGCAGTGAATTATTCCGATGGGAATTACGCATCAAACTGGAACACATTTTAATGCCTTGTGTACAAGTTTCCAGTCAGGCCTGCTTTGATTCGATGTCGATTATGTTGTTGGCGTTCTGCGCTATAGCTGTAAAGGTTGCTGCGTCATGGCACTGTGTTTTAAAAGCCTCCAACGTGCCAGTCGATGTGCCGATCGGGTCAGACTATGTTAAAATAGATTGTGTTACAGCAAAGTGAGGTCTAAATATGGCAGCTGAAGTGACTCAGTTTCTTGTAACTTGGATGAAGTCAGTGTGACAAGAAAGAAAGAACGATCGACTCCAGCTCGGTTGCCGGGTGCTAAATATACTCCATCTCTCTGAACACACACCGAGTGCACCTGGGAACTGTTCTCTAACCTTACAGAAGGAAAGACGTAAGAGGGAGAGAGACTCACAAAAAAAGCCTTCATTCTGCTTTTGTGTTCCGAGATTTTTGGATTTACATTTTTTATGCTAGTTGAGCCCTTAAGCCCCACCTTAAAACGTGACCGACCAATCCTGAATTAGCTGCTGTTGTGTTCCACACCATTTAATGAGCAAACAGAATTAGAATTTAACCAGTAGAATGTAAAATCGAATGAAATTCACAATAATTCATGTAACAAATATAGAAATTCACACAACTTTGCAGTATTTTCAAAAACTTCAGATCATAAAAATGTGTATTTAAATTATATTATATACTTATATGATTATACAAATATTAATAATAAATTATAAATACACTGTTCAAAAGTTTGGGGTTGGTAATATTTCTTAATGGGTTTGAAAAGTGTCTTACGCTCAAAAATAAAAAATAAAAATGGAAAATAATTTAAAACAATCAAAAAAAAATTCTATGTGAATGTATTGTAGATTATATATTACTCCAGTCTTCAGTGTCACATGATCCTTCATAAATCATTCTAATGTGCTGATTTGCTGCTCAAGAAACATTTCTTATTATTATCAGTGTTCAAAACAGTTGCTGCTTTATATTTTTGCAGAAACCGTGATGAATTATTGTCAGGATCTGTGAGTATAGAAAGTTCAAAAGAACAGTTTTTAAAAAAATATATGAATCTTTTGTAACATTAAGAATGTATTTACTGTCACTTTTAATCAATTTAATGCATCCTAGCTGAATAAAAATATGAAATATGAAAAAAAGACCCCAAATGTTTTGAACAGTATGTATATAAAGGTATTTATTTATTTATGATTTGATCATATTAAAATAAATTTTATGGTTGCAGAACACTTTATTTTCTCAGAATGCTCTAATTTGTCATCATGTCAAAATGAAGTCAATCAGCATAAAGCAGCTCATTAGATGGAAACCTTTATATAGTTTACTTAAGAAGATCCCTGTTTTTTATACAATTATTGCATTATGTTTTGGACTATTTTTGCTCCAATGCAAGTTAATGTTACTAAGTTGACATTTATTTTGATTCAGGATATTATACTGTTGACTGTAACTAAAACGTTCACAGTATGATGAATGTGTTAGGAACAGTCCTGTTATCTTACAGTAGTACAGTAATGTTATACAGTAATGTTATCAGCCTTAATAACAGTCAAATGAGGCATTTCTCTTTTTACTTGACTTTGAGGAGCGTTTGATTCTAATTTTCAGCCTGCACAGTTTTTACTCTTGTTACTGAGTAATTTAATATTTCCTGTTGAGAAAATTGGAGATAAAAATGCTTTGGCAGTGTCACACTTCATTCCAGCCAATGTCTATGACTATCATTTTATTAACACTTTATTAGTTTATTTTAATAGAAAATCTGTTCTCAGAAATCTCCGGTTCAATGTTCTGTAAAGTTGGCATGCGTGTACACACACACACACACACACACACACACACACACACACACACACACACACTTTATGCTTGATGATGTATGGTGCTTACATAATGTATTTTCAATTCAATTATGCAATTGGCATAAAGTTACACCTGTAAAAATAAATACATTGTTATTAAATTGTCATTCAATTATGAAAATAAATTGTCTAATAAATAAAAAATAACAACAACGACAACAATAATAATACATTATTATTGTTATTATTATATTTTATCATATATTTATTATAGATTATGTAAAAATATTATTACATTTGACTGTCATTAAGATAAAGATTTGACATTTTGTTATAATAATAATAATAATAATAATAATAATAATAATAGCCATTTTATGCTTATTGGTGTATGATGATGTATGGTACTTAAAACTGAACGGTGTTTTATTTTTTATTTTAAAAAGCATTAAAATATGTTATTTTAGTTAACTATTATTATTAAAATATTATTCCAGTGTTCTAAAGTCAACCAATGTTTTCTTGCACTGCAGAGGATTTGTGTTCCTTTTGTTCACAGTCTCAGCTGTACATTTTACTAGTTCTTCAGGTCAATGATCTCGTGAATTCATGCAGCAAAGAAAACAATATGAGACCA